TTTTACCCCGCAAAAAAAAAACGATAAATGAGCCCCGACCGACCCGGTCACCCCGAAACGCCGAGTATCTGCCAAGAAAGGGAAGTTTGGGACTATCTGGGGAAGACTGGCTGGTGTTTCCCAACGGCTGTTTTACTCCTTCCAGAACAATAAAGCCACTTCCAGTACGAGTTTTTCAAAGCCACAACGCACAGTTTTGAACACAAACAGAAACTTCGCCACCAAGCAGACAAAAGAAATATTAATTTTGATCATGTAAAATATTAGTTTGCTTAAAACTATGTTGCATGGAAGTTTCTTTCTACAAGCAGAAATAAAAACAAAAGCAATGTTTTAATTTTTTCACATTTCCGTCGTTGCAACGTAAAATCTGTCCGCTGGAAAGTGGGATTCAGATAAACGGTTCCTACTGGATTTAAAGGCGGCGATGTCCGAGATGGATGTTACCATTTCGTTTTTGTGAGGAGCGATAATAACGACTGCATTGTTTAAAATATATTGAAATATTCTACAATAATTTAATTAAATAAATTAGAAACAAGAGTGAGATAGTTCCGGTTGTTTGTTATATACATTTAGAAGGAAACATGGCGGCGTCCTTGAGCTGCTCGGTGAGCGCGAGGTTGCTGGTAAATACTTTATTTTAAACCATTTTAATATGTAATATGTGGAAGAGCTATGTGATATTGTACTTAGCTTCTTTTTATGGCCTATTATTTTGATTGTAGGTAAATTTTATCTAAGAAACGCATATCAAACAACCACCTCTTTCTCATATAGTCCAGCTGACGTTTGACAGGCTTCTCTTATAAATACAGTTTGAAATCAACTCAAACAACTGTCAACTGGGCGGATATTTGGGCTCACTGTTCAGCATAAAAGGGAATTTGGGACGACTATGCACACTAAACAATTCTGTGTTTGCAGAGATTAATTTCTCCACATATTTCATGAACATTTGATATTTTTCACGGTTTTACTCTCTTGTCTTCTCAATGGAAGGTTGATGGTTCAACTCCCAGCACGCTCATTGGTTTTATAAATACATTTAAATCCGTAATTTAATATTTTAGAAATGCATATAAATCCGTTATTTAATGAGCCGCGTCAATGTGTGGATGAAAAAGGCAGTGATAAGTGCGTTTGAATGATTTAGAGGAACCTAGATGAGGTTAAACATCCCTTTTTTTCCCATTGACAGAGCGCCTTGGCCCGGTCCAGCTCACTGACCTGCTCCTCTGGAGCCAGAAGCCTCCACGTCACCTCCGCATGCTGCAAGGTAAGCCCTCAGGCTGGATAAACTAAAGAAAAATACACCACATGTCCACATAGGCGCTTGGGATACAACACTTTAATGTAATTGTGTATATAAAAATCCTATAAATCAAGTCCCAAATTGGTAAAATCGCTTGAGTGCTAGTTTAAAATGTTTCTTTGAAGACACCAGCAGATTGCTCTAAGACTTCTCTCCTTTGTGTCATTTTTCTTTGTATGATCACAGTAAATTGCTTTGATTTAGGCCGGCAGAGCTCACATTTCTGCTTTTTTTCATCGTCTGAGGGCTGATAAACAGAAATCCTTGATTGCAGAATCGAGCAGCTCGTATCCGGGTGGGAAAAGGCGACCGGCCGCTGACCTATGAGCAAGCGCACCATCCCCACCACATCGCCCACCGCAAAGGATGGCTGTCCCAGCACACCAGTCAGTACTCACACACATAACCATTGTTGTCTGATTTAATTAATGCACCCCTAAACAGGCTGAAAACTTTATTTAGTAGTTTTGCGTTCTCATTAACGGAACATTGTGTAGCAAGTATTTTATTAGCTAAAATCATGTTTTTTATTTCTAAATGTTCCTCATTTGGTGTAAAATGACCTCTGACATGATCTGACTTCTCCTCCATAAGGAAGAATTTCATATCTGTATATACACAGGACGGGTAAGTCCACAGAGGTTTCCATGGCAATCCGCCATTTTGAAAAACTATAACGGCAGAGAAGGACATAAAGCACTAGTCTGCCTGTTTAGCTAATCCACAACGCGTTTTCCTTCATAGCCAGAGTCACGTGACTGCAACTTATTTTCAATTAATACATCTTTTTACTACTTTAATTAATCAATTTAAAAGAATTTCTTTAAGATTCCAAACCTCATCACTAGAGAGAACTCCAGATGTGGAATTCATGCTGTTGTTGTCGTGTGTCAAATTGTTAGCTAACGCTAGCTACGACATAGGCTAGCAATGCTAAGCTACAAACAAAAAAAACAAGCTAACATGGCAACGTAATTTTCCATCTTGTTGGAGGAGGAATTACATGCTCACTCTAAGGATTCAATGCAGTTTGTCATTTCTTTCAAATTCCAAACCTCATCATCAGAGAAAACTCCAGGATGTGGAAGTCATGTTGTCATTACTTCTTGATGCCTGACGGCTAGCGTAGCTGCAATACCCATTTGGAAACGGGGGCGCTAGAGAGCAGATTTGTTAGGATCCAGAACACAGTTTCACCGTTAGATCAGAATAAGAATCAGAATTAGGTTTATTGCCAAGTAGGTTTTTCACTTACAAGGAATTTGCTTTGGTGTTTGGTGCACAACACTTCTATGAGAAGCAAGAAAGGACATACAATGTAGAAATAACAATATAGAATAAAATATAATAATAAATAATGATAATAAAATAAAATATTGAATGTCCAACGACAGACCAGAAAATGCTGAACGTAGCATTGTGTATATTAGTGGGGTAGAGGGGGGTGGATGGAGGGATTCCTACTTATAGACTAATTTGGCTGGTGAAAATGCTCATTTAACCTCCTGAGACCCTGTGTCCTCATAAGAGGACGTTGCATTTTTGTCTCTCTTTACCATGATACTTCTTTTTTTCTTTCAGCTTTGACCTCTTGGCCTCATAGCGGATGCTATCAGACACTGTTTGAAATCTAAAGTAAAATGGTTTTATACATTTCCATCCAATCATGTTCTTATTGTGTAATAGAAAAACTGTAAATGAGTCAATGGGACTGTCAGAACAAAATTGTAAAAACATTTAATTAAATATGTATCTCATATATCTTTAAAAAAAAAAGCTAAAATACATGCCAAATAAAAGCTCGGGTCTCAGGAGGTTAAGATGGAAGTTTAAAGCAAACCGGCCTCAAACTAGGAGCCAAGCATCATAAACTGCTCGTTTTCAGGTAACCTGAAGGGCGAGGGGGGGGCGGCCGAGCGCACCATGGAGGACGTCTTCATCCGGAGGTTCATGTTCGGGACCTTCCACGGTTGCCTGGCCAACGAGGTGGTCATCAAACGGCGAGGCAACGCGCTGACCGTCTGCGCCCTCATGCTGCAGAAGATGCCCCCCCAGAAGTTCTACTTCCTGATCGGGTACTCCGAGTCCCTGCTGTCCCACTTCTACAAATGCCCCGTCAAGCTGGAGGTGCAAACCCTGCAGGACAAAGCCGTCTACAAGTACCTCTGAGACCAGGACATGAACCCGAGGCCAAAAGCCCTCATTTACATCTAAAAATGCTGTTTGGACTCATTTAATTACGCATAGTTTTCAGGCCAAACCAGAGTTTCTCAGAGGAAGATACCCCCAAAAAAGAGAGAGATACAGAGATTACTTTTATGTCATTGCATCCAGTGTCAGAAAAGCCTTGTTTTAGATTGTTTGGTGGGATTTGTAGTTTCAAATGGGAAACTGAAAATGGTCACAAATATGATTTATGTACCTCATGTATGAGCGGATCGTTGAAAATATAAAAATAATTGTTTTTTTTCCCCTTTAAAAATGCTGTGTAAGAACCACTTTCAGCTCTTTATGCAGCAGCCTCATTCATTTGTCAATGTACAAGATTATATAACTGAAAAATAAATAAGTTTGGATTCAATCTCAACTCAAATTGTTTCTGCATTAGCTTGAATTTAACTACGTTAAAAGCATCTTGAGAATAATTTGTTGTGATTTCTAAATAAAGCTAAACTGAAATTGATCAGCCTCTGGTCCCAGGATCAATTGGAAGAAGATGGGAAAGAAAATAGAGGGGATGGACAGACATTTAAAAAACTGATGAGTTCAGTAACAAAGGCTTTAGATTTTTATCTAAATGCTCCTTTTAATGGTTCAAAGCAGATTTGGCCTCCTAGTGGAAAAATGTTCTGCATAAATGTGTTATTACAATGTTAGAAATCTGTAATCCTTTCGCTATGTTCACTAAAGTCTGTCAAAAACGATTTGATATTCAAATACTGTCACTAGATGTGACTAAAGAGGAGTTTAACCGGATCTTTAGAAATAATCGAGACATCCGAGTGTAAATGCTCAACTTTATTTTCGTATTTAGTTTAATCAGAGTGCAAATTCATTCACATTCAAGGCAGTGGAAACACAAGGCACAAAGGATTAAAGTCATCACATAAAGTTCCCTTTTATATTCAGGATGATTGTAAAACATTTCCGAAACAAATCACAGCACATGCTCCTGGTTGTCTAAAAAAGCCGTCATCAATACTCATAAAATATGGCATCAAACGTTAAGGAGAAAGTCCGTTCTTCACATTTAAGGCACAAAACTGGAGTGGACACTGGACAGCGTGTCCACTAAAGACAGACCCGGTTGTCTTTATTTCACTGAAAGTGCTGCAGAGATTAAACATAAGTATAAATATCCTTATGAAAACAGTAGTATACTCTGTAAAAACAGTTAAATGAGAAGACTGATGCTTCTCCTGTGTTATGTCAGCTGCATTAAATGGTTAAATCCTGCAGGAATTATCAACTAGCAGCCATTTGACAGCTAAGTTAGCAACCTACTGCTAGCAGTTCATTTAAAAAGGAAAGTTTAGACAAGATTGGGATTATTCTTCTCATCTAACTTGTGATAACTAAAGTGTCATAAACCTAAACATGTTTAAAGCAATGATTAGATTAGTAGTCCAGCAAAAATGTTTTCTTATTGGATAAAAGCTAAGTTGTGTTTCTGGTTTGTAAAAGGAGGACAAAGGGCTCTCGAAAATGTTACCGTTCAGTTTGTGTGTGGAAAAAGATATGACAGCTAGAATATAAAAACCCAGGTTATGAAAGAAGATGTACCGAGTTTGTAAAAGAAGAAAAAAAAGACATGAGTGAGCACAGCTCAGAAATATCATGGACATTTTAACTTGTCAAAACCAGGTAAAACATCACTTCCGGGAAATATTTTTGTGTAAACAGAGAAATTGTAGAGTAAAAACTCTTAATTACTTTAGTTTGTCGTGTTCACAGCATAAGAACACAAACCAAACTAGCTGCTTCCCTCATTTCCAGTTTTTAAGAAGAGCAAAAGCTAACGCAAGATAAAGCTAGGCGAACGCTAACTTAGCTTAAGCTAACGCTATTGCTAGCTTAAGCTAACGCTATTGCCAGTTTAAACTAACGCTATTGCCAGTTTAAGCTAACGCTAACTTAGCTTAAGCTAACGCTATTGCTAGCTTAAGCTAACGCTATTGCCAGTTTAAGCTAACGCTATTGGTAGCTTAAGCTAAGCTAACGTTAGCATAGCGGCCACAAACAGGAAGTAGGAAGAATAAGGGTGTGATTTCCTCCTCTTCACATCAAAATAAAGAGATTTCCCCCAAAAGATATGAATCATAAAAAGCAGCTAAATGGAACCCAGCCATAACAACAAGTAATACGTTTATTTTCCCTTTGAAACGTGTCAAAATGTCCGTCTATCTGCGGTAAAAGAGATAGGCTACGGACCCGGCCTGCTTTGTGCTTTGGACACGGTCGGGTGTTTGGTTTTTCTCCGGTTCACTTCACCTCCCGGCAGCTGTCGCCCACACAGGACTGCAGCTTTATGAGCCGCTGGTTCATGGCCTGCAGGACGGCCGGGTCCACCTTCTTCACGATGTTCTCCAGCTGGTGGGGGTCCGCCGTCAGGTTGTACACCTCCACGAACGACTGGGGGGGGGACACAAACCCACAGAGAAAGGGCTCAGCTTCCTTAAACTTAGAGTTAGATTTCTACTTTATCGATCCCTTGGGAAAACTCCCTCAGAAAATTAAAGTTACCAGCAGCTTACAGGGCAAGAAGGTGGCACACAGAGAGCAAAATGCAAAAAAAATACAAAAGATACTGATTAAGTACATGTACACACTAAATGTGAATAGCCAAAAAAATAAGAATATAAATAGTAAAAAATAAAAACCCCTAAAATAAGAAAAGAATAAGAATATAAATACAACGTGAAAATAAAAACCCCTAAGAAAATACAGGAGTTTGGTGGATAGATTGACCAGTGATATGGTATTGCACTATGTGGAATATAAATATAAATATGGAGTTCACAGATGTGATGGAAAGAGTCAAACAAAGCCTCCAAAGTCTGAGATGGCTGAATAAAAAGATTAAATAGAGCTTAAAAAATGACCTGATCACAGTACAAAGCAGATGGTGCGAACATCCTTTCAAATCAACAACTCAAATATGAGTTTTAGATTGTTATTTTGAGCTTACTTTCTGAAAAAATAACACCATTTCTCACATTAAAATCAAAGGATGTCAGTACAGAGCGAATGGTGCAAACATCCTCTCAATTCAACAACTCAAATATGAGTTTTCGATTGGGCTTTAAGCCTATTTGCTGAGAAATTACAGCAAAATAAAAGCAATCGCATGTCGGAGATGACACAAAAAAAAGCTCCAACATCTGATTTTGGAAGGACATTTACAAGAAATGTCCTTTGTGTGGATAAAACTTATCTATTAGTACACATATGTGCTTTGTTATATGTTAAGAGTGAACTCCAGCCTTTCCGCTCCCCTTTAAAAAAAAAAAATTGGTGTCAAATTCAAGAAGCCTGTACTTTATTGATCCCTTGGGAAGACTCCCTCAGGAAATTAAATTTACCAGCAGCTTACAGGGCAAGAAAAGTGGCACACAGAGAGCAAAAACACAAAGTAAAAAATAAAACTAAGCAAAAATAAGCAAAGATTAAGAATGTAAATACCCACTGCAATCCTTTTTACAGAAGCTGTAAAAAAATGTTTTCTTTTTTAATTTTTTTTCCTCAATATATTCAATATATCACTCATTTGACTGTCTGACAGTTGTGACTATTTTGAATCATGACTGCTGTATTTTGTGTATGTGGGCTGTATGCATGTATGTTTTTATTTTTTTTTATGTGGACTTTGTAGTGCTCCGTGTTGTTTTGCGGCTGGTTGTCTTTGTTCAATTTTGTTGATGTTTATATAAAGTTATGAAAATCAATAAGAAAATTAAAAAAAATAAAAAAGAATGTAAATACAACCTCGCTGTCCGCAAACTCGCAGTACTGCAGGTCCTGCTGGCCGTCCAGCGTGCGGACGCAGGCGTACGTGTTGTTGAACGCGTCTTCGCAGACGCAGTCGGGGAAACATTGCTGAAAAAAAAACAAATAAACAACAGTGGATGAAGTGTGACCCATCCCACGGTCACTCAGGGGTTACAGAAAGTAATAGTTTACACCATGGAACTGTTAGAATCTGGCTGTAATTGCTCACATTAGCATGTTAGCATATGCTATAACGTGATCTATGTAAATTACTGATTGTCTTATACGTTTTAGAACTACATTTTTGCGTTAAAGTCTCTGGCTGTAACCACAGACTCTTTTTCTTTTTCTGTTATTAGATCCACGTCTTTAGGGCAACACAAACACACACACCATTTGCCATCTTCATGAATTAGGACCTGGCCTGTTTATTGTGTGAAAAATAAATAAAAGTAATCGAATGTCGGGGATGATGAGACAAAAACAAGCTCCAACATCTGATTTTGGAAGGACGTTTACAAGAAATGTCCTTTGTGTGGATAAAACGTATCTATTAGTCAACATTCGTGCTTTGTTATATTTTAAGAGTGAAATCCAGCCTTTCAACTCCCCTTTTTTTTTTTAAATTTGGTGTCAAATTCAAGAAGCCTTTGGGATTTTTAATGTGCTGTAAAAGGCTGAATAAATTCCCTGGCATGAATGAGGCTCTGCAGGACAAAGTAACCTAATTGATTAAAGGTTTTTGAAACCGGTGTGTGTGATTTACATGAATTAGGACCTGGCCTGTTTATTGTGTGAAAAATAAATAAAAGTAATCGGATGTCGGGGATGATGAGACAAAAACAAGCTCCAATATCTGATTTTGGAAGGACATTAACAAGAAATGTCCTTTGTGTGGATAAAACGTATTTATTAGTCAACATATGTGTATCTTTGTTATATTTTAAGTGTGAAATCCAGCCTTTCTTTTTAACTAATTGACTGCCAGCCATTTTCAGAACAGAGAGTTCCATACTGCCAGAGTTTTTTGAGCATTTTGACTGATTTTTCAAGAGCCACAGAATAGTTTGTGCTATGACTATGTAAACACCGAACACACCAAAAGAAAGAGTAGACTCTCTTCTTTCATCAGGAAAAGAAATGTGTTTCTACCTTATTCCGTTCTTCCTGGACTTGCGTTTCACCGGCGACATGTTCTCTCATAGAACCGTTACCTTTTTCTTATTTGCCTACAGTCTATGCTCATCTCCCATCAAAAGTGGCACTGCCACCTAGAGGGTCAATTTGTTACTACACACTCTGTCTAGAAGCCGATATTTACGGACAAGCTTTAGCAGATCGTCCCCCAGCCACTCTCGTTGAAAAACATAAAAGACGTCTATAGACGTCTTTGGCAGCCAATGAGTTAAATTTGGTGTCAAATTTAAGAAGCCTTTGTGATTTTTTAATGTGTTGTAAAAGGCTGAATAAATTCCCTGGGATGAATGAGGCTGTGCAGGATAAAGTGACCTAATTGATTAAAGGTTTGTGTCCACTCACAGAGAGGCCCGGGCCCAGTTTAGGACACGCAGGGTCCGGGGTCGGGTGTCCCTCCCCGGTGTATTCCACCAGGAAAAATGGCCGTGCTGAGCCGTTTCGGAGCGAGGGAGCCTGGACAGGAAGTTACAGTCAGAAAAAAAAACAACTGAAAAATGGCATAAACCAGCGATGTAACGCGGCCTCGGACCATCTGAGACAGGAACGACTGTCCGTCCACATTCACAGAGGACAGGTTGACCCCCGATATGTCCAGAAAAGTGGGAGCCAGGTCGATGTTCAGCACCGGAGCCTGAGAGGGACAAAAAACAAAGGATTTATTATGTTTTCACTTCTTGTATATTGCAATAAAGAACACACAAACACAAATTTTAACCAGGAAAAAAGAAAAATAACATGTTTGCACAGAGAGAGCACAAATTATTACTATTATTATTATTAGAATTATAAATATATTATTATATTGCAGATTTGAATTAGCTAATACTAAATAATAATAATTACATACATTTACATGATCCACTTTGCCAGAGTCTGTCCCAAACCATAGTTTACATTTAAATTATCCACTCAGCCCTCTCCTATTATATTAATGTTTTAATAAATCCCTCCAATCTATTATTCAGCTTGAAAATAAATGGTTCCGGCTGGTTATTTTAGTCATTTTTTCCCATCCACCCATCAAACGGGAAAACATTTTATTTATATTTATGTATATATTTATCATTTCTGGTCATTTCACATTCAAGCTCCCCTCTATTATTTATTAGATTTATATATATTTATTATTTTGGGTCATTTCACATTCATGCTCCCCTCTATTATTTATTATATTTAAATATATTTATTATTTTGGTTATTGCACATTCATGCTCCTCTCTATTATTCATTATATTCATATATATTTATTATTTTGGGTC